GACCTCAGACTTCCAGGACGCAAAACTCCTAAAAAATGAACATAATTAGTTTGTAAATTCCACCACTAAAGTACACAATCAGTTACTGAAGGTCCTGAATTATTACCTCATGCTAACTTTTTAGCTTTAACTTACATTATTTTAGATTATATCATAAACTGCTGTGTGCATTGTAGTTTCTGCGAACATGGAGCCTCCAGGGAACATAAAGAGTGAAAACTCTGAACAGGATCCAAACGGCAAAACGTCCACATTCTTAGATCATGATCCAAAACATTTGAAGCAATGCGACTACACTGGAGTTCTGACCTGATTAAACCCTCGCAGTGCCACAGGTCGGGCTTGTGTTAGGGCGGAGGAGGACAGGGCCCCATCACATCATTTCCTCCTCTGTAACTTTCTTCCATTGTGCCCCTGCAGAGCTGCACAATGTGTCCTCAGCAACAACTCCCTTCCTGCTCTCTGGGTCCTGCCTTCATGTTCCTCCCTGCGCTGCTGGTGTAAAACCCTCACTGAGTCATTAGCTTACATGGGCAGGAACGGACAGGAAGCGTGCGAGCTGGATACATTCGGCCTTCAAAGGTGTCGTCATGCCTGCATCATCAGAAACAAGTCAGATGTGTGAGGTCAGGATGAGAAAGGCACCTTTAACGCAGATATATAGACGTTAGCCTCCACATTAACCATTAACCCTGGGATTACTCTCTGGAGTGTGAAATGAAGCAAATAATCAATAATGTTAAACTAAATGATTCAATATGAAGCCATCACACTTGCAATATGAATTATTTGGATGCATGAAACAAGTAGCTTTAACAATTAATTATGATCAGTAATAAAAACCAAAGACACCTGTGACAAGTTTCTTATCAGGTCACCTTCACATTATTGACTCGAGGGTTTAACCCCTGAGTGAACCTAATTACCTGTCTTTAAAGAGTAACAGAATCCAGCCTGAGAGGTCTTATTGCCTCATAAAGAGCCTGTAAGTTTCATGTGCATCTATTTCTTTGCTGCCGCTTGTTGGTTCCATTGAAATGTATGCAACACTGAAAGCTCAGAGCATCCCAGAGACTTATAGTCGTCCTCAAATTTATAAATACCGTTCCATAAAAGAAAAGGCAAAATTCATAATAGTCACTCAAATAACTAGAAACTGAAAAAAGTAACAATAAATTTAAAAAAAAAAATGCTAATTTATAATTTTGTGAAATCAGACTTTGCTTTTGAATTGTGGTTGAAAAGAATAATTAAGTTATTTCCTCTATGTAAAGCACATCTGAATAACTTCTTGTTGACCTATATATCCCTTTATAACATTATTTACTCTCAGGTCTTTGAGGTGTGGGTTCATTGTTTCACCAGCGTCATTGTGAGCCACATGAAGGTCCAGACAAGCTGTAAATAAACCATTTAGGTTCAAACAAACGCAAGATGCACCTTTTGCGTGTGCTCCGTAAAACAGGCTCTACAATGGTTGTAATAATTAACATCCTTTATCAACTTTATTTTTAACTCCCTAATGAGCTGTTTAGTTAAATCCTGGGTTTTATTTATGACTGTTGTTATCGTCTGACCGCTGCTCCTCGCATTCAGTCAGCTGCAGCTATCAACTCATAAATCAGCAGTTAAGTCTGTGCTCAAAATGTTATCAGAATAAACAGGAATGACGGTGAAAACTATAGGATCAGTTCTATCTTTTGATCCCTGCAGAGAGTAGCAGACATGTAGTGACGAAATCTAATTAACTGTATTTTACTCAAGTCGTTTCTTCTCATGTTACTTTCTGCTTCTTTACAATTCAGAGGGAAATATTTCACCTTTGATTAAACTTAAATTATTCTCTGATTTGTTTTGGTTTGCTCAGTGAAGCTTTCTTACAAAATGCAAGCTTTGTTAAAAATAAAACTTCTTTTCAGTAAATACAAAAAAAGTCAATAAACAGACAAGTTTTCTTTTTAATATCTTTATTTTATTAAGTTTGAAGTTTTGACTCCTGGTTGGACAAAACAAGTAAGGTGACGGTTTCACTGTTGTGTCAGTACAAGATACTAATCAGAAGATTGACCATCATGACAATAATCATTAATTACAGTTTAATGTAAACTCGTTCAAAATTTCCTTTTTTAAAAACTTGTTAACATGTTCATATGGGGTATTTCATGTACTAGAAAACACATCATAAGTGAATAAGTAGTCAGTTGCATGGCTGAGTAGTTCTGCCTTTAAAATAAATAGAAATAAATCAGTCATCCAAGGTTCCATACACAACATCTGAAGGAACACATCCTGACAACTGGTTTGGATCAATATCCCCGTATATAACTCTGATACTTCCATGCAGGTAAGGATCCTCCTCCAACTTCTAGTTAACTTCTCAGTAAGAGAATTATTGAACAGTTTAACGGTGGTGTAGCTGTGATTTAGAACTTGCAAAGACGTACAAAAGTCCACATGTGGAGGCTGGAGGTGGGAGGAGGCAGCAGTCAGTGGACTCTCATCCAAGAGTCGTGAGTTTGAGTCCTGTCCCTGACCATAATTACAGTTCTATTTTTTGAATTCAGTTTTGTTCTGACGATTGCTTTCACTTGCTGTTTTTCACTCAGTGTTTGTTTAAGGTTACGCACCAAAACCACTTGCTCATTTTTAAAAAATAATGTTGATTTGGGTTAAAATACGCCTCGTCGCTACATTCATCAGACATTGCAAAGTTTTATTTTGTCTCCACTCCAGACTTTACATGCACTTTTTCCACACAGTTGCAATAAATTGCTGATGTTATCTGGGCTGGTTTCTGTTTCTCAGTGATCAGGATGGTTGATAATGTACCTACTGGGTTTCCTGGAAGGTGGAGGAGGTCCACATGTATGGGAACGATGTTGATGGTGCTGATAATGATCCATTAAACGGTCTGATACCATCTGAATTGAGCAACATGATAAATTTCTAAGTGGGATTTTCTGTATAAGTATTCTTCAGTTTCTGTTTTGATCATGTGTGGTTGAATGTCTCCAGTATCAACACTCGTCATTGTGTAGCGTATAGTAGTTTTATGTGACTGACGTCGTGGGTGAGCTGGTGTGAATGAGCTGCAGTGATGGTTAACATAGAAGCAGGGATGAAGTAGAGCGACACATTCTAGAAGAAGCAACAGCGTGGAGTTACATTTGAACCATTTTAGGGCAGAAAATGATTATTTTTATGGATAAAAACTACTTAATGTGTAACTCTGATGAACAGAGGTGAGTTTTTAAGGGTTAATCAGTGACCGGAGGGAGACTCGACCTCAGCTCGTGACAATAGTAAAGTCCTGCTTTTATATTAATGCTGAGTAATAGTAATCTAATGGGGCAGTTTAGTGGGATATTTTCTGCACTTAATGGTTTTATTTCTTTAGTTTTTGAAATTTTCATTCTTCTCTAATTACTAAAACACATTAAAGGGGATCTATTCCCACTACTTAATAAATACATAGCTGGAAGATTTTAATGTCGGCTAC